TCGTGGGCTCAGCCTGTAATCCCGCACCTTTGGGAGGCTGAGGTGAGTGGAATGCCTGAGCCCGTGGGTTCGAGACCCGCCTGGGCAGTGAGACCTCATCTCTACAATAAATCAAAAAATCAGCCGGGCGTGGTAGTGCGTACCTGTAATTCCAGCTACTTGGAAGACTGAGGTGGAAGGGTCACCGGAGCCCAGCAGGTCGAGGTTGCGGTGACCGGGAGCAGTCACTGCACTCCAGTCTTGGCAACAGAGTGAGACTCCAACTCAACAAAAAATAAAAAATAACTGCTTTCAAGGAGGTTATATTTGAGGAGAAGACCAGGTTTCTGTTTGAAGCTTTCCTACCCTTGAAATCTATGTCACCTCTGGATCTTTAAGAATTATTGCAAAGAGGTTAGATAGAGTGACTGCTTTCTCTCCCTACCCTAGTGTCCATCTCTCGCCCTTGCCTGTCTTTCTAAAGTGATGGGGATGGCAGAGTTCCAAAAGATTTTCTCTACTTACTTTCTGAGATATAAGGTTCGATTAGAAAGAGAAACTGTGTATGTAAAAGAAAAAATATGTTACCATCTACTGATTAGGATTAACAAAAATAATTATCTATTTTCCTAATACTAAAAGTAATTTACATTTTGAGACCTCATCCACCTGATGACAGAAAACTTTATCTAGATGCATCCAAGCAGATTCAAAATCAGAAGTTTCTCAAGCACTTGCTTTTGAAAATTGAGTCACATTCAGGAATTTTTTTTTTCTCTCCCCTTCCTCCCTGTAGTAGAGTCTAAGCTCTGGGGCTTATGGAAAGTGGTAGCAAAAGAGGGATGTTCACCTCTCAGCTCTGGCATGTCCTGTGCTTCCATCCTCTGAAATGCACAGTTGTTTCATCAATGATCATGATTGCCATTGTCAGTCATCAACATGTCTGTTGGCTAGTTTTGTTGCCTTTGATGAAGCTGTTTCCCGAGGCTTCCAGGATCTCTTCATACGGATATTGCCCAAGAGATATACATCTCTCTCCAGCTTTTGGCTCAGAGGGTCCATGGCATCATCCACTGCCACACTCTTACTCTTGCAAGACTCCTATGGGAGTCTTAAAATTGCATTGACATTCTCCTACACCTCTCTAGGAATACAGACTCATCAGGTCCTCTCTCCTTCACCACCCACATATACTCTATTGCCCCATATCATTGTAACCAAGGGCACTTCTTTGGAACTTCCCACCATCCCAAGTACCCAAATTGGAAGTAGTCCCCATCCATACCTAAAAGGATGCTTGTTAGTCACCTCTTCTGTGACTGAATTGGAAGGTGTAAAGAGATTGGTGAGGTTTTCAGGGTCACACAGCTGCCTCTCCTCAGGGATTACTTCATGTCTAGAAAAATTTCACACTCATCAAGCATTCATTTCAAGTATTCCTGTCATTCATCAAGAGGGCAGCTTTTTAAACTTTAAGAGCCAAGAATTTTGAGACTGTTGATTGGGCTCCTTGGTGTGTGTATTTGGGGAATGTCTCTGGTAACATCTCACATGCTGCTCTGTTGCAGAAGCTGCCCCTTAGGCCTGTCTTCAGTATGATCCCATCTGTGCTATTTTCCTTGCTCTTATTTGGTTTTTGAGAAGCGGTAGGGTGAAGTGTTTGAATACTTCTTCTCAAATTGCTGAATTTCCAGATGTTTTCTGGAGTCATTTTTACTTTAATTTAATTTGTTTTAAATTCATATTTAACATCCTTAGCTCATAAACACTACAAAATTTAGGTTAGAATTACTGAATTATAATTAATAACCATGGATTATATATTAATGGGGAGTTGCTTTCTACAGACATGAATCTTACAGTCTGAGAGGATCTGAATCTTACAGTGAGTCTGCTCCTCGAAGTAAATTGAGTCAAACATTTTTTAAAAATCATAATATCTCCTTTTAACTGTAATAAAGCATAGGATATAATTGTTGCTCTTCTTATCTACCTTCCTGAAAGACATGCAGTGTTTTAAAAAATTATTACCTAGTAACCATGAGTTCTGTCTAAGAACTTGTCAAAAATATGCTTTGGCACTTTTTTCCTTTTCTATCCATTTTTAATGAAAAATAACAACAGTAAATTGAATTAAATGCCAGATTCACCACTGGAGTTCTTGTGCCTTTATGGTTTGCTGTTACAAAGTATCAATGACAATAATAGAATGCCTTTTTAAATGATTTCATTTTTTATTTTATCTATAGAAAAGGAACCACATATATCATTGTAAAACAGAATTAACTTGTCCTAAAGTAATAAAACCCAAGTGTCAGATTTAGTAAATCAATATTTTCTCATGAAGATAAGACACCTTCAAAAACAGCTAATTTTATGTTAATACTGGGTGGTCCAAAAAGATGAAGTATTGAATCAATTCTACATTTTTGGAGGGGCAGTGGAAAAACAAATATAGGAAGCAGATCAGCCATTATTGACTCTGGAAAAGACATAGTCTGTTAAATATTCTTCCCCTTAGGATTTTAGTGCGTGATCATGCAATTGCTTAGAGAGATAGGTAGGTAGGTAGATAGCTAACTAGCTAGCTAGCTAGATAGATAGATAGATAGATATGTTAGGAAATAGATACATGGAACTCAGACTTGGTTCATATTTTGAGAGCCTGAGAATCAATAAAAAATGCTTTAACAACAGTAATAATAGTAATTAAAAATTCATTCCGTAAACATTTGCTTTTCTTTATCTGCATACTTTATAAGCAACGATGATAATGGTGATGATCATGATAATGATACATTTTAAACGCTTTTGAGCTTTATTGCAGTTCAGCGAGGAGTTCGTTGTAGGCTCTAGTCTATGCCTATTTTTGTTTTCTTTTTACTTACTGGGGCTTCCATTCCTCACTTCTGTAAAATACTAGCAATCTTTACAAGTACTGCCTTGAGTAAATGAAAGCACATAGTATGGCAATACAATATAAACTCAAACTAACTTTCCTTATTTCATTACAGCAAATTCTTCGTCACTCTAGAGAAAACTCAACAAAAGTGATATTCCTTATTACTGATGGATATTCCAATGGGGGAGACCCTAGACCGATTGCAGCATTACTGCGAGATTTTGGAGTGGAGATCTTCACTTTTGGCATATGGCAAGGAAACATTCGAGAATTGAATGACATGGCTTCCAGTCCAAAGGAGGAGCACTGTTACCTGCTCCATAGTTTTGAAGAATTTGAGGCTTTAGCTCGTCGGGCACTGCATGAAGGTAATAGAAACCCAATGACATAAGAAATAAATCTTTAAATGGGGTTCCTTCTCTCTCGCTGCCTAGAACCCACTGAAAGATAATATCAAGCTGTCACAAGGTCTTCCCTGAGCATGATCCCCATGTGTCCTTGGGCTATCATGAAGTATACTAGAATTCATAAAGATGGCATTTGACTTTGCAACAAGAGTATTTGTTTTATTTTGTTTCTTAACAGCTGTGATATATTTTCACTAGTATATCCATATGCTCCCACCTAGAATCATTAGAATCAATGGAATGAATTTAGGTGTGTTTTGAGGCCACACACAGAGTGGGAAGACTTGACATATTACAGTTATCTGGACAGAGGAAGTAAACATTCAGAGACATGCACAGTGAATCTCATCAGAATGTTTCCAGAAATACACATGGAGATACAGGAACAATAAATACTTAACACTTACTTCTTAACCTGACAACTTGAAGATAAGTTGCTTATGTATAAGCTTAAGAGCATTAACCCCAAAAAGAAAGAAAGTCAGCAAATGCATTTTTTGTACATTATTTATAAGGATGTTTTGTTGTATAATTTAAGTTAGATGAACTTCCTATCTTGGTGAACCAGAAGAAAATGCAGACTCGGGGGGAGATCACAAGATATCTAGCCTCAGATCAAAGTGATGTGGCAGATTAGGTGTGCTCCTTGCAGGTATCCACGTGAAAGAGTCAATCTGAAGAGAAAATCATAGCTAATGAGGTTCCAAGAAATTAGTGATGTTCATAATAAGCCCTACTTATAAGTTAGTCCTACTGTAGTTTCAAGACAATAATTTAGGACAAGATACCACACCATAGCTATGGATACAGCAAACACAAATTTAAGTTTCTGAGAAATGATGCTGGCAAAAGTTATTAGTGGCTAGCATCTTAGTGAAGTGAGCAGGGACTTAGGGCAGGGCTGAAAAGCAACAAGAAAATAGGTTTAGGGAGTAAAGCATGGTTTTGGATTTAAGTTCTGGACTTGCAACTTAACAAAGTCTAGTTTTTAAGAGCTAAGTCTTAAAAATCTAGAATGCTTGGATTTAAATCTCAGTTTTGTGACCTTCTACTTGAATGGGTTTTGACAGATAATCTGTCTTTTATACTCCTTAGGATTTCTTGTTAGTAGAATAGGGAATGAGAACAGTACCCACTTCATAAGATTGTTACAAGGATTAAATGGGTTAAGACAGATGAAGTGATTAGAAAGTTATTAATGGTTTATTATTCTAATTTCTAAATAACTATCCACAGTGACAGTTAATTATTATTTTTAAATGATTAATATTATTTATTATTAATTACCTTAGGCATTTAACAGTTCTGAGCTTCAGTTTTCTCTCCTTTCAAAATGGAGAGTAGTATGTATCACATAGTTTGCTCAGGTGGATTAAATAAAATGTTTAAAATTCATCAAGTAGAGTATCTAGCACATGGTAGAAGTTCAGTAACTGTGACTACTTTTGTTTCTCTTTTTCTCTAGGAAAAGTGATGTGTTAAGTGAGAAAACGGGATGGTTGGAGTTGAGGATAATGGGTGTTACTAGATAGAATTATAATGTTATACATTTAATTATCTGTGTTGCAGAGGATAAATTTCCAGTCTTAATCTCTCTGTTGTAGGACTGGGGACTTCTGCCCTGATACAAGTTGACACAGAGACTAGGTAGAACACAGCCTTCAAGGGAATGATTTTGGTTTTAGAAGACACTACATTTATTACACTCAACTAATATCCAGAAAGTGTAATACTTTGGTTGAGTTTTCAGATTTGCTAAGAAGAAATTTTATTTTTATGAAGAAGCATTATTGTATCAAAGGAAGCGAGACTCTCTAAAGATATTTGAAAGTGGGTGGATCCACTTTTGGTCTCAAGACTATTTGTGTGTCTGGTCATTCTCAATAGTTACAAAATAACAGTTTTCCCCATATGTCATACCTCCACTTATCTTTCTTCAGGACCTGAATGCTAGTGCATCAGTGTTGACAGGTCTTTTTTTCTTGCTCCCTGAGTTGCTCTACTGCTAAATAGGCCTGTGTGTGGCCCAGTGTCTAAGTCTAGGGGCCTAGGTTGCAGATCTTTTACTCACACTACAGATATGGATGGAGTTTTAATAGAGTGCCTGGTTGTGCTGATCTCTTTCCCTTGGGACTAGCATCTTCCCTTTAATTTGCCACTATCTAAATGCAAAGGGACAGTTGTTCCATAATTGAGGCCATCACCAATCTCTTTCCCAGGTTTTCCATGGCAGCCCATGTGTCTTGCTGAAAATCACCCACTTGAATAACCACTAATGGGTCCACCACTATGTCTGCACCTAGGCCCATCCACCTAGCACTGGAATTTAGGCACAGACTTTTGGACTTCTTAAGCAGAATAAATGGACTTACTATACCTGATTCCCATCCCTTCTGGGGCAGTCATATTCAACCTTACCCTGCCCTGTCAAGGTACCTTCTGAATGACTCAGCAGTCCTCACTGCAGAGCATGCTCAAATACTAAGAATGGTTTCTATGTATATCACGTGTTACACTATTTAAAATGTAGGTATAAATAACATCCTAGTTTTATTATTTAGCTTATATAGTGCAGTTGTTCTTTAAATCTTTAATCAAATGACTATAGAAGTGATGGTTTTTATTATAAATGTAGCTCACAATCAACATCCTTATGCAGTGATCAAGATCGTGGCTTTATCTCTAGTTTTGAACAAGTATTTTGGAAATCTAGTTACTGCTGCCTGACCTCATCTAGAGACAGTGGAACGCTGCTGGTTGGAAGCCAGGGGAATGACCTGTAGAACTGACTGTGTTACTTCCTGCTGCATCTGGAGATTCCTTGTGAAAGGACTTAATTTCTGCCTGACCCTGTGTGGCCTTGAGAACTTATGATGAGGTCCCAGACTGAAATAACCTAACTGGCTGAAACAAATTCCCAGAGTGTGGTAGTGCAAATAACACACATTCATGTTTGGGTGGGAGTAGGAAGCAGTAGGGAATTAGAGGGATATGAAAAGATATTTTCTCCAGCTTGCATTTAAATTTTAATGACTGGAGAATGTAAAATTCAACTGTTACTCATTTTTTTTATTGCTCTGTCATATGTTATTGGTAGATCTACCTTCTGGGAGTTTTATTCAAGAGGATATGTCCCACTGCTCATATCTTTGTGAAGTCGGCAAAGACTGCTGTGATCGAATGGCAAGCTGCAAATGTGGGACACACACGGGCCAGTTTGAGTGCATCTGTGAAAAGGGGTATTATGGGAAGGGCCTGCAGTATGAATGCACAGGTGAGTCTCCATTGTGTGTGCAACTATATCTCTTGTCTGTTGCTGTGTAACAAACAATTCCAAAACTCAATGGCTTAAAAGAGTGTTTGTTATTGCTCGTGAGTCTTAGGTCACCCAGGCAGCTCTTTTTTGTCTCTGCTGTGATGACTCATGCATTTGCCATCATTGGTGAGTCCAGTAGGCTGCTGAGTGATCTCAGCTGGATTCTCTTACGTGTTCAGGAGTCTGACTCTAGTCTAATCTAAAATGGCTTTGTCTGGGATAACGAGGCTGTCCTTTATGTGGCCTTTCATACTCCATCAAGCTAACCCAAGCTTGTTTAGGTGGTGATGGCAGGATTTCAAGAGGGAGAATGGAAGCTTGTAGCCTCTTGAAGCCTAGATTCAGAACTGAGAGGGGAAAGGTTTAGGGGGTTTTATTTGTAATTTTTCTAATAAAATAGTCAAATCTGTTCTCTGGGCACTTATACCAAAATATGCCTCAGTCTCTCTATGAGATTAAAGCCAATGGAATTCTGGTCCCCATTCCACATGTAACTTGTAAGCCTGTCATGAAAAATACAACATTTACTTGATGGTTTTTTAAGCTTTTCATAATTCTCCACAAAGTTCATCAAAAAGTTGTACAAACAAAAGAAAGCTCCATATGATCCAACAGTCCCACTATGAGCTATATATTCAAAAGAAAGGAAATCAGTGTGTCCAAGAGATATCTACACTCTCATGTTTATTGTATCGCTATTTACAATAACCAAGATATAGAATCAACCTCAATGTTCATCACTGGATGAATGGATAAAAAAATATAGATACATATATATTTTATCTATTATATATGATATATATGGGATATATGTCTATATTATATTATATCATGATACAAAAAAATGGATATTTTAAGAGATGTGATCTAATGTATTACTTTTCAAAGTTGAACTAAGTTATGGTAGCCATATGTGGTATGATGTATTCTCAACCATGCTTCTGCCACTTTCTTTGTTCTGCTTCTTGCACGGTGATGCTGGCATTCATATGATTAATACCATCTTTTAAGCGAATGTCATCTTTAAAATGTGTATGCTTTTCTTGGCACCCCATATATGTACATAATGGAATACTATTCAGTCATAAAAAAATAAGGAAACTTGTCATTCTTGGCAACATGGATAAGCCTGGAGGACATTATGTCAAGTGAAATAAGACAGGCACAGAAAGAAAAATGTCACATGATCTTAGTCATCTGTGGAAGCTAGAAAAGTTCATCTCATAGAAGTAAAGAGTAGAATAGTAGTTACTAGGGGCTGGGAAGGGTAGGGAGTGGGAGGCTAGGAAATGGTTAGTTAATGGATACAGAACTATCACTGGGCAGGAAGACTAAATTCTAGAGTTCTTCTATACCCTTGTAGAGTGACTATAGTTCACAATAATTTATTGTATATTTTCAAATAGCTAGGAGAGAGGATTTGGGATATTTTCAACACAAAGATATGGTAAATGTTTGAGGTGATAGATATGTTAATTATCCTAATTTATCATTATATGTTGTATACATATTTCAATATATACTGTGTCCCATAAATATGTTCAATTGTCATGTGTCAATTAAAAATAATATTAATAAGTGGAATTTACTTCATTGACATTTGTGATTTTTTCTTCTCTAGGTTTTCTCAAAAGAATATCTTTATATTTTTATATTTTATTAAAGAAGCAAGAAGAACAATTTAGGATTCTTATACTCTACATTATATTTTAAGAAATATCTAATATTTAGAAATAGTATGTGGTTTTTCTGTGTTGGGTAACATTTTGTTTATTCTGTTTCTTACCTAAAAAGCAACAGTGTTTTTTAATAGCTTACAACTCTCCCAAGATTTGCTGCTTTTAAAAACTATATCCCCATGGAAATTAACACCCACCAGGGAAGTTAAAGAGGAATAGGTTTACTCTATTTTGTACCATGTGGTCATTCATTGCTTGTTTCATGTGAGAGTTATTTTATTTTGGCATTCGGTAGATAAGTCTGCTCTGCAACACAGAAACATGGTTCCTCCCTATCTATTCAACATGGTTTCTCACTTCTCTTCTCCTTTCTTCTCTCCTCCTTGTGGAACACTTCACTTCCTCATGCGTCATTCTTTTACTCTCTTTTATTCTTGATGCCCCTCATGCCCTTCCCTTAATTTTTTCTGCCTCCCTTGGCTCTGATCCCAGCTGGCAGATACATCCTTCCTGGGTCCAACTAGCCATGTTCACCCAGCAGAATCATTCCTTTCTTGGCTCTGTTCCCACCCCACCCAGCAGGATTTCTCACTTAGGCAGAACAAAGGGTTGGGGAAAATCAGCCCAACTGCCTCTGAGTTGGCAAAGTGCCTCCCCTTGTTTTTCCTCCCCTTGAATCTTCCCACACTCTCATCAACAGCCCAGCTTGGCACTCTCCCCAACCTCGCTCCCTTACTCCCCCATCCTAGCCCACCAAACCCAGGCAGAGGAGCTCATTTTTCTATGCTCAATGCTGTAGTCAGCATGTCTGCTTTCCGTGTGGTCCTAGACTGAACTACTCCCTGCCAACGAGCCTTGTGGCTGCCTACAGCCTCAGCCACTCTGTGCTGCGGCTCCCACTGTTCTTAGGCACTAGAGTCTTGTATCCCACGGGATAAGCTACAGGAAGAGAGAGGAGGCAGTTCACAAACCCACTGTCCCCAGTTACCCAAGTAGCTTTGCCTGCTGCCAGTAGCATTTTCCAGGTTGAAAGGCACAGCAGTCCATCAAATGTATTGCAATTGGGTGGGCCCATCATTAGCACATAGCAGAGGAGATTAGAGCATTTCTGCTGCTGGTTCTAACCCCAAACACCAAGCATAAAAGCGTTAGTTTATCCAGTTCTTCACTTAAATTAGTTAGTTTTAGCTTACTGGTACTCAGGAGTACTTTCTTTTATATGAGATTTAAATAGTTGTATTGATATAAATGTTCATATGATCACCTTCGGTATTTGTGTCTGCAAGATTAGGAAAAGTGGTAATAGAACTCCAAGACATGCATCGTGTCTTTGTGTAGTTGTAGGAGACAGCACCACTGGCTTCTCTGGCATACTAAGAGCTAAGGGAAAATATTATAGAGTTCCTCTGGCTTGAAAGACTCGTTATTACACTCTTTCAGGAAAGCAGAAATAAATCTTAGCGGTATATCATCTAATACTGAAAACCTGGAAGCAATGAGCTCCTTTAAAACTCATTTGGTCAATCGGTGTTATCGAGCACCTTCTCTATGCCATACCCAGTGCTAGGCATGAGGTAAGCATTCAATGGCAAGCAGACAGACGTAATCACCACTATCTTGGAACTGACAGTCTAACTACAGAAACCAATCAGTGATCACAAACAATGACATGTACTATTAAACAAAAATGCCCATGGTATGAAGAGTAGATGCCATGGAAGGTTCAAGTAAGAGAGCTCCTATTTGAAGGATGACTAGACCATAGCTATTTCATACCCAAAGAAAAGATATTAAATTTCATTCTGAATAGTTGGAATTCTGAGTATTTATCTTTACTGTAGAAACAATGCCTTTCAGAAGTAAATCATTCCTTTTCTGAGCCAGAAAGACAGAAAAGGACATTTTATATGCTCTAAATCCTGCATTCTACAAGAGGAAATTGAGACCCCAGGAAAGATGAGTAGTTTGCTCAAAATGACATATCCAGGCATCAGCAGAACCCAGGGAAGGATGCAGGACATTTTTTTCTAAGTCTTATTTCCAAGCTATTACTCCACTTATTTTTTCCATATTTTGAAAATAACTATTTTATACATTGCTTTCCAGAGGCCATAGATGCTGAACTATGCTCAAAATGTTTAAAAATGCAGAAATATCTGGCTCAAATTGGACCTCTGCTGTTTATAAACTATGTGGCTTTGGGCAACTTAATTTCTTTGGATTCTCAGTTTCTTCTGTAAAATGGACTTTAAAATGATATCACTACATATATATGCATACAAACATATATACTACATATCTATATGCATGTACATAAGTATATATAAATATATATAGATATCAATATATATAAATGTATATGGGTCTATAGATAGATAAGTGTGTGTGTGTGTGTGTGTGTGTGTGTGTGTGTGTGTGTGTGTGTGTGTGTGTGTAAGTGGTTGGGTTAGTTATTGAGAATATACTTAGAGTGCTTAGGATAGTATCTGAATCATCAATTCTCAGTCAGGGGTGACTTTTATTATTTATCATTATTATGAGATAATATAAATATTGTTATGAGAAAGCTAATGAATGAACATTAAAATAATTACTTCAAGTATGAAATCCTTGAAGGTTAAGTTACAACCATATATTTATAAATTTCACTGTTCTTGGTTAGACTGGAAATTGAGAAATTGTGCTGTGGGAAGGATGAGAAAGATCTATCCATGTAAGTGAACATCATCAGGAGTCCTTGCACTTACCAAAGGTTGAATACATTTCTGATATGATGATGTGCCATTGAATGTTGAGAAAGTAGAGGTTGTTTGCCTTGATTAGGGCAAAGTCACATGCTGAGACAAATTATTTGTTAATTAATTTAATAGAAAAGTAGAATATTGGAGTTGGTCCTAGGGTTTTTCTCATTGTTCTTCTGGAAGATGAGGAAGCCCTATCCCATGATCAGAGGGTAAATTTGTGGCAGGGCTTAAGTAGATTTAAGGTCTCCTGATTCCCAGTCCAGACTTCTTTCTTTATAACAGTCTGTCTCAAAGGGTACCCTTGAGACCAAAGAAAGCTGACCACCATGTGATCTCCTTTCTCCTCATTGTTTTGGGAGATTGGCAATCTGGGCTATCTGAATCCTCAAACCATAAGCTCCCAAAGTCCTGGCCAATGCAGTGACTTCCCTATAAATGAGCACTACTGTCACAGTAAGAAGCTTCATGGAAAAGATCTTGATGTACAAAAATATTTTAATAATTGTAGGTCTTTTCCAAATCAGTTCTTAACTTG